ATAAATTTCATTGAGCTCTGTCGTCTGGCAGAGGTTCAGTGATCGAAAGTTGCTTTCGTCCCTAAGTTTTGCACACCAGTGTATAATAGAAAGAAAGTGTCTCACAGAGAAAACATATCAAGAGAATGTGATTATAGGTTTCAGGCCAAAGTTTTTTTTCTGAGAACCTTCAATTCTTTTCAATTTCGGCATCTATTGGCCTCGCTCTAGGAGGATTTGGCTGGTTCATAGAAGAAAATTGTGGTACTGAGACAAATGTCGCAAATATAAAAGAAGATTAAGAGCAAATTGAAGTTTTCATAAACAATCATTGTAACAAAAAACAACAAGCCCAACATAACACAACAACATTACAAACAACAACAAACAACAAAAACAGTATGTACAAAATACTTATGGAATACCAAAAGACTGTTTGATGAAGAGCTCTGAAGTTGATCACCTTTGAAAGCCAAAGAAAGGTGTTTTCGATAGATGTTAAAAGAATTCATTGAAAGGGATTTATTGATAATAAGGAAGTGGAGACGATGTGTTCGAGAGAAGTAAACAGTCTTGATTGACTTTGCTGAGACTTGTTGCTCGAGTGAACTGCATTCGAGTAGAGAATTTTATAGGGAACAAGAACCCTTTTGCCAGATCACTCCCTTGAACCTGGGATAAGTCAGCATCATGGCGGCAGCCAATTCGTTGAGCGTTTCACCATGTTAACATGGAGATAGTGTGAAGGTAGATTCTGTTCAATTGCTACAGTAACGGGAAAATCTGTCAACAAACGCACATATTAGGGTGTCCCAAAAGTTTTGAAAAAATTTATTTGGTTTATTCAACACAAAAATACTACAACAAAAAGGCGAGAACAGTAATCGAGGTAGTGGCCCTCTTTAGCCACGACGTCCCTCCATCGACTGGGCAGAGCACTGATGCACCTGCACTTTTGACCTCCTGACGGTTATGAAATTTTTTCTCCTTGAGGTAAGTTTGTAGACTCCTAGAGGTGTAGTGGTCACAAGGGCTAAGGTCAGGTGAATACGGAGGATGGGATAGCCAGGTGATCCCAAGCCTTCCCAGCTCCTCAGTCGTCGCCCTAGTATGGTGTGGTCGAGCGTTGTCCATCAAAATCGGAAACTTTCCCCGCATTCGGTGTGAAACCGGGGCTCGAGACCCCATCTCCCGCAGCTGCTCACAGAATACCCTTACAGCAGCAGTTCCCTCAGATAGGATCTCATAGTAGAAACAGCCGGCGGAGCAGAAGAAGAACAGAATCGTATTCTTCTTGACGTGTTCCCCACTCTTTGCAACGGCTTCTGGCCTTATGTCGATTGGTAGCCACTGCAACGTCCTGCGTGGATTTTCATAAGAAATCCACTTCTCATCCTGAGCGATGATGAAGCTCGGCCAAGGCACCGTTCGCTTGCGGTCGAGTAGCTTCTGGCACACATCGACCCGCACCTGACGCTCGCGCTCGGTCAAGGTGTGGAGGATAACCGCAGGAAGTGCTGAGCGAGAGCGACATCTGCTTAGGATGTCGTGGATGATGGAACGGGGAGCAGAAGTCGTCCTCTCCATTCCTCTCCGGCTTTGAGAAGGATTGCTTTGGATGGAGGCTAAGACAATGTCGATATTGGTGGAACGTGGACGTCCGCTCCGTGGCGCTTCGTCGAAGTGAATCTCTCCTCTAGAGCGCGACAGTACCACCAGGTGCACTACTACCTATCGATGACTGCAATTCATTCCGGGCTTGAGTGACTGAGCGGCCAGAATCGTAGCAATGAAGTAGAAGACGTCGATAGTCGTGTCGGTCGGACATAATTCAAATGAAGATAACTCACNACAAAGATGAAGTGCAATACCGTTCTATTGTTTTGACGATCTACCAAGAGTGCCCTTTTCCTTTTTTCGTGGCTCTGCTTCGGCGCTTTCTTGCGCAACATGGTTGCGAAATTCATGACAAAAATTTTTTCAAAACTTTTGGGACACCCTAATATATATTTATATACTGTAGCGCTCAAAAGTATTCTGCCAAATGCTTCTTCATTCGCCTTTTTCCGTAGTAACTTCTTTCCTATTAGACCTAATTGTGCGGAATTGTTAGGTTGAGTCATAAGTCCTCGGACAAAGTGATGGTGGTGACTTATAGAGATCATAACTCGGGAAAGAAGTGACGGAAAGGGAAGCGCGAGGCATCGTTAGATAGTGAATAAAAAGCTCTTCCAAATACATATTTGAGAGTACACCTGACCACTTCCTGCGTTTGAGCGTGAGGAGAGAAAGTGCCATGACGGCGCGAAAATGCATGTCACACTGCTTCAAAGCATAAGGCACCCATCGACAGAGCTTTCGCGCCTTGCCGACTGACTTTAATCCACGAATAACTGTAGGCTGACTCCCAAGGGTGACTGCTAGTTCACGAGTAGTTTGATAAGGATCGGCTTCCACCTGGCTCCGCAGCACCTCCAAATCCAACTCCATTGAACGTCCCGGACGGTATTCATTTTCGATGGAATGGTCGTCCGACGTGAACTTCGTGTGCCACTTGTGAATTGTGCATCTAGCAGGAGCATCCTTCTTGTAAAGTTCCCTAAGACGTCTATCGATCTCTGCGGGTTCTCGGCCATATAAGAAAACAAATAGGATGGTGTTGCAGAGGTGGAGTTGCGACGGCTCGAAATCATGGGGCATTGTTGCAGGAAAGGAAACAGTTAGGTGTGTTTGTTAGTATGTATTTTTGAAGAGCTTCACGTACTCTATCTAACAATGCCACGCGTGCCCATTTTCGTCACCTCTTTCCCGAGTTATGATCGCTAGAAGTCATCACTATCACAGTGTCCGAGGACTTATGACTCAACCTAATACAATATGTGTAGCATGAATGTATTGTGAATATTTACTTCTATTAAACCGCAATATGATCGCGTTCGAATATCCCAAAGACCTTGGACTCAAGATCAACTGGAAATACGGTGATGGCCCTTTTGGAATTCCTTTCCTTTTTGCCATGTATGAGGTATACGAGCGCTAATACCGAACACAGTAAAGGAGAAAAACGCACATAAGGTGCGAATAACTGCAGACGCCACTGACTTTGCTTTTTGCTATCCCAAAAACACTTTGCTCCTAGTTATGTCGTACTGCTGCGTTGCAGTCAAATAGTGTTGGATAGTGTGAAATATGCTTTAGTTAAACATATCAAAATTTTGCGCGATTTGCTGCACTAATAAAAAAAATTACGATTGAAAAAACGTTGGCTCAATACTTTTCAGCGCTGCTGTATTTGTGGCTTACTCATTCACGGCCAAATTAGAGCCAACGTTTCAGTGGAGGGGGTAGCGTAAGGACCAAGTTGCAGACAGCCAGTTAGAAGGATTTTTTTCTCTAAGACGATTCCATTGATGACTGTTTTTTTTCAACACATTGGGCTGCTTGAGAATATTTGGAGAAGCACGGCAGTTCAACCCAAGAGTGAAGTCCTATCGATACAAACGTTGTCGCAGAATCGACAAGGAATCTCGAAGTACCTGCGCACACCGCTGGGGCAACTGTAATATTGTATCCAATCCCAGGACTGAATCGTTTGTAACAGTTACCGAGAAGTCGTACCCTCTAGAAGTGGTCGATCATCAGATCTTTCGCAGAGTATTTGCTGAAAATTTTTCGATGACCCATGTTTTTCTGAAGTGGTCTGAAAGTTTTCATGCAATTGCTATATAAGGCAAAACTTATGTGGTAGGTTCATAACATATACGACTCCATATTGCTTGCTTATTTATCCTTCGAATGTCCGAATTATCCCCCTTTATTAATTCAGTCATCCCTGCAGCTCGAGTCCATCCCTCGAAACTTGCACCAAAAATTCGGCAGTGATGCCCCGCCCCCAAGCGTTTCTGTACACGCCTCTTTCAACTGTTCAAAAAAGATAGGAGACGAGTCCAATCTTTCTGGGTAAGTCAAGCGCTCACGAGTGAATTGTGCCCTTTCACAGTATTTCTGCGGGGGCGCTCGGTACATTCCAGAAAGACGCTGTATTTGTGGGTTATACAAAAAGAAAATAAATTAGATTTATTGTTGATTGCACAACGAGGTCACGAATAAATGCAAACATGCTTGAAGCATAAATCAATGAAGTCAATAAATTATTGGATATAATCTCTTAAAAATACTCAATATTTCTTCACTCTGAGACAGAGCGCCGTACAGACAACAGCAAGAATCATGAGGAAGACGAGACCGGAGACCATCACAGACATTACTTGTAGTGACATACAGACACCCTCCGACTGTAAACTCGTCAAGGTAGGATCGGCAGTGAGAAGAGCGGCTTGTGGCAGTGCCGGCAGCTAAACATGAGTTTAAACAAATGATATATTAAGTTCACAGTGAACTAATGGTGAGTGAATTCAGAAAACTCGAGGAGCTCCTACAGTTTTTGGTGACGATGAGGGCTAAAACTTCATGTGGCCTAGAGAAGGCCACGGAATTCACAAGATGGAAACATCAAGGTTGACTTAAATATCCACTGAGGCTACCCAAGTCCCTACGGAAACAAAACGTGTTAGGCTGCTCCTACATGCCAAAGGGAAATCTTCAAGCGGAATCTGTGCATTCCTTCCTTGTATTTGAATGGGACGTATCCACTATCTCATAGCCTCTTCCCTTTACATCTCTGTGGTAATAAAGGATATGTTGGAGCATGTATTTTCCTCTACCCTACTTTCAGATTACATACAGGAGTAGCAAGCACGTAGGAGTGCTATGTAGGGTGAATACTGTGTTCCTGGAAATGGCATCTCCAAGCTTATCAGGAAGGTCGGGTGAAAATGAGATACAGGCACCTACACAAATAAGCTATTATCCTAAGCATTTATGGCTTCGTTCCAATAAGTAAAACAGGGCTCTAATGCTCATTACTGAATTTTAGAAGACCAACCTCTCCATCGAGCACATCGAGAGCGGTGATCTCTGCGCGGACATCAAGAACGTTTTCGAGCGGAGCTGATCGTTTCTTAAGCACGCGGAAGAATTGAGCCTGCTGCGCTGGCTTGACTGCTCCGAACGCCTTTGGTTCAGCGCACTGCGGTCGAGCACACTCGGCGTTTGGTTCCTGAAGAGATTGTTGGCATTGCCTCCATACATACTATTTTGATGAGTAAAATCTGCATCGGAATCAATCAATTAATTACTGACGTTCTAGGCAAAAATCATAAGTCTAGCCGAAGTTTCTAATTTTTAAGTTTTTAGCTTACTAAGACGGCGTCTAGGAAATAACTTTCAAAATTTCCATCTGAAGATCTGGGAAGGGGAAGAATCCTTAGACAACGACACGTTAACTTGATGCGGAATTGGATTGAATAGCGGGTAAATATGTGTTGTGATAACCTCTTACCCTGATCGAGATGCTAATTTGACACTGGTAGAACAACTGACTGCGATCGGCATACTTGTAGACGTGAGCTTCCTGAAATTGAACGAATGATTTCACACTTCCCTTCTCCAAATGGTAAGAATCAGCGATGACTCTGCATATTTCTGTTCCATTACTAGAAATTGGCAATAGAGTTGCCAGATGACATTTTGGGACGGTGTAGCGGATTTCAGGAATACAGAAAAAAACCCAGCTAAATTGCAAGTGGACAGTGCGCTTAANGACTATGTCCACCTCCTCTCAGAAATACAATTATTCTAAAACTCTAAGGAGCATGTGACAATGAATGTCAAAGTACAGACCTGTCCAGCCATGAGATCAGTAGGATATTCCAGATTGTTCAGCAAGAATTTGTCGAGAGCGCAACCATTCTCATCGAGGATCTGGAAGGAAAGTTTCTTCCTTCTCTCATTTCGGCTTATCTGAAGCCATCATCAGGCGACTGGATGGCTCACAAATACCTGTACGGTGTCACCATTTCCGTCATCAACAGTGCAAGAATGAACGACAGCGCAGAATGTGTCAATGGTTTCAGAATCGCAAGTCCATTTGTGATAAACCTGAACATGATCGTTGGAGGAGAGTTAGAAATATCTCTCAGAAACGGTCCTTTGTACCTGTTGTCCAATGGTGGCAAATTGCACAGGCTCTCCAGTCGGACCGCCGTTGAGGATTTCATATTTACAGACTGGCATGGGAACAATCTAAAACGTCCATTAGGTAAACAGTATTAAAAGCCATTTCAAGCGCTACTGAAGCGGTTCCAGGTTTCCAAAAACAAAAACTCAGCCGATTATACCTGGGTTTGGAAGGCTGTCGTAAGGTCGGAGACTTCGATTTGAGTAGAGACGGTTTTGTCTGCTTCCATGTAGAAGCATTGGATACGGTAGGCCCTGAATCACTCTTGTTAACGCTGATTTGCGAATATGGAGAAAGATGAATACGGCACTTTCAGTAATAATGGCTCTGAAAGTTGGAGATGGTGTCATGGCAAGTGACGCACTATCGTGCACGCACGGTCACGGGATCGAATCCCGAATCGATATACGCCTAGGCCGACAGAGTCTTCGGGTCGTTGCTACCTCTGGGTCGTTACTCGGTACCATAGCCGCCTGGGAACATGAAAGTGCAGACTTGTACATGGGCTTACCACCGGAAGTCATTGTTTGGGCCACTGACGCATTCAATACGCCACTACGATACTGAGTGGAAGTCGAATGTGGAGCGCATCCCTCAGACGGGATTGATCAACTCCAATAGACATTATCCTTCTGTCCTTTAATGGCTTCGCAGGCTACTTTGCTCAAATCAAAGTCATGCAAGAATTCAGGGCACAGCTGGAACATCTTCAGACATCAGATCAGGAAAGTGAATTGACGTTTCTTCAACCATGTTATGGAAGAGGGAAGGGATCACTGGTCAAAAGGAGGAAACTCCCACCTGTCAACTTTGGTCACAAATTGAGGGTGGAACGAGACGACAACAGTTGTAGTGACAAAGACACCACGAGGGTTCAATGAGCGAGTTCGAGCGACGTTGCACGAATCGAATGGCAGTTCGATTCCGGCCACCTGCAACCGTCAATATTAAAAGTTCGGGCACAATATCACTGCTTCTTCCAACTCCACCTATCCAAGATTTTCCCACTCGTGTATTCAACAGTGAATTGGAACAGTGAATACATGGTGAGTTTTTTTTTACCACAATCATCAGTGAAACTGCTATGTACCTGTCGTCCACTGTCATTGTTACGGCATTCGTCGTGGTCGAAAAGACCCTTCACATAAACATGTCCTTCGAACGGGTTTCTGAAAAGGGTTGCTAGAATCTTATGCACTTAACAAAGGCATAAACAACACGGCTATGGCTAACCTGGTATTGAAATTGACAGTGACTGATGTTGGTCCACATTCAATTTCTGGTTCACCTTCAACTCCATTGTCAACGGGAATGGCGGCCGTCAAAGCAATCAGACCCAGAAAAGTCAGTAATCGCAACATCTGCAATGTATTTTAATGAAAATTGTGGCACTATATAATATTGGAATAATATAGGAAATCAACGAGAGAAGAGGGTTGCTCTAAGTAAAAAAATGAAGAGGACGGTTGGGTGATGCTTGAACCACTTGAACTTGAACTGCCTTGCAGCTGCTTTCTTCCTATTCTTCTACAACATCGGTCGTCACCACGGCTAGGCTTCTGCACTCAGAATATCATGAAATTATTGCTAATTAAAAAGAGATTAGGAATTCGGGAGTCTTTGAGTTTTTTTGGAATCGTGAGTGTTGTGAGTTCCACTACGATGCGAATTAAGGTACGTCTAGTCATGATTTCGACTTTCATGGTGAGACGACTGGCACAATATGGATGATGTAGAGTGATACTTCTCAAGTAAGCGGAAGAGGAGCTTCCTTTTGAAACGGTCTCCTGGTTAGGCCCTGGTGAAAATAAAGTTCACGAAGCAGTGAGCTTCTCCCAAAAAGTGATTCAGAACTTCAACACGTCTTCAAATACTATAAGCTTGTGAACAAATGTGGAGTAAATCAAGCGTAGACATCGGAAGGTCTGACAAAGAAAAGAGTTCAGCTTGTTTGTACGTTCAAATTAGTAAACAAAAAGTCATGAATTTGAAACCATCCTCTTCCAGTGCAAAGTATCGCTGGAATGAGCAGTGCAATGGAAAATAGGGAAGTGAAGCACACAATATGGAATCGAGGGCAGCAGCCAAAGATGCAGCAATTCGGAACTTTTAGCTTTTATACGGTGCGAGGGTTGACTACGGTTTTAGAGGGCGGTCAGCTGGATGGTCGCAGCCGGCCGATGAAGGCGATCCCGGTTTCTACCGCTCAACAGTAGCGTCGATCACCTCAGAGCGATGAGAAACAGCTTTTTCGGGAGAGAACGGCGGCGACGCAGAGCGCTTTTTCACCTTAAGATATCACTGTCGGAATTCAAATATTAAGGCTACAATCAGGTTTGAGCATTGCTATTGAAACTGCTGCTTGAGGAAGTTACTCTCATGCCATTGCGCCTACCAGGGTAATTGCAAATTCCTGAAACAAAAGAAGCGTTAAACAAAGGGAGTGGAGGTGCCTACGTCTACTGAAGAATTTCAGAACTTGTCGGTGGTTCTCATTTGGCAGTTTCAAAGAACTTGAGAGTACCGCTTTTTTAGCTTCCCTCATACCATGACCTAGGCTCCCAATGTGATGTACCAGCTGCGCTTATTAACATATGATAAGCGAACCATTCCCTCTAAAACTTATTTCAATCTGAACCATAACACCAGATGATGTCGAGGTCATTATCTGTCCGGCCTTCCTTCCATCGAAAAAAATTCCAGATTCTCAACAAAGAAGGGAGTAGCGCCCTGAGAGATCAAGGTTGTCGCTTTCGCCAATATTCTCATATCTTTACACAGTGCGCTACATTTGCTTACATCAATTTCTGCGGCTGGTGCTCGCTAGCTAGTTCCTCCAGGTCAAAAACCTACAGCTGCTGCTAGATAAAAGCTCATAAGTTTTCCACTGAAAAATAGACCCCAGAGTTAAAGAATAACCTCATGGGAACCCTGCTCTAGACAAGTACTTCTGCTGTGAAACAATCTTTGAAATTTCCTACTGAAGGTTATGTTCAAGCAAAATTTGGGGAAGCAAATTAAGGGTTAATGCCAGCCTCAAACAGGAATAGCCTCAACATAACTCTGAGGGTTTGGCCTAGCGCAAACTTCCACCTATATGTATGAAAAACTCCTCACCGTCGCCATAACGCGAAGTCCTCACGTCGGTTGAATTTCCTTTTCCCTAAGGGTTTTCTGTTGTATTAAATTCGACAAAGTAGACATTTCCTTTAAGCGCTCTCAATTTCACGCTTTTGTTATTGGCTTCGTCGGTCTCCATGACCGGTCCCTCGCTAATTGTCTCAATTTTCCTCCAAATTTCGTCATTCAACACGACTTTTTTCACACAACATAGCAAGTTTCTAGAAAACAAGAACATTTATTGAATGAATCCAATTCTGCCTTGAAATTTTAATTTGATGCCTTTACATGTCTTTGCGTCCATTTTCGTAGCACGACGAGTATGTCTGGTGCTTTGGTCTCGCTGAGTTGAACCATACCTTAAGTAGTAATTTTTATTCGTAATAAATATAAATATAAAATATAAAATAAAATAAATATAAATATGTAGATATAATATAAATATAAATAATATAAATAAATTCATATAAATCTTGGAGGAACTTCGACTATGTCAGATGATTTTGGTTACGAGCCATTTTCACCTGATTCTATTGAATAGCGCTGCAACCAAATGTTTTAGAGTTCGTGAACAAAAACAGAGAGTTGAACAACTTCTTTTTCACTTCTGGGAAAGGCCTCAGACCACGAAGGCAAAGGCCTTTAGCTTCATCATTGCTTCGCAGATACCTTGACACTTTTGCAGTCGCAGCGAAAAGCTAAAATTTTACGAGGCCTAGAGCAAATTGTGTTGAGCTATCACTCTTGTATTTTGACAACTGTAGGTGTTCAATGGGCTAGGAGTAGGATAGTTTGGCATTGTTGCTTAGTAGTGTTAACGTAATTAATCTCTTAATAATTGTTTAGGAACAAGGAAATCTGTGGGCTCGTCTTCAGCGACATCAATCGCTTTGATTTCAAGTCTCCTGCAGAATAATTATCGGTACAGTTGATTCGTCGTTCATGCTGTTTCTAAAAGCATCCTTCCTCGTTCTCGAGAGGCACTCTTTTCTGTTAAAACCATACCTTATATAACCTCAGCTTCTCCAGCGACGTGCTACCTAGTCTCTATTCTCATCAATGAGCCAGTAGCTAGCAGTTCCTTTGGTTTGTACTGCTATCAAAAAATAGGCCCATGTCGTCATTGAAATATGTCAACAACGAGAAGGTCTTTGTACCCATCTTGAGGAGACGTACACACATATCAGATAAACCTTGACTAAGCCGAGATTTCTTTTTATTGATCACTTCACACCAAAAGGTGCTTGAAACGACAGTCGGAGATTGGTCATAGATGACATATTTCACGAGGACTACCTATAATTAATCACTCACCATTAACTGAACGCTCTCTAGTGATTTTGTGTGTACGTCGTCACCTGCCTCATGCACTTTCACCGTTGTTCAGTGGTTTTTTTCGATCCTTTGACACCTTGTCGGACATCGCCGTCATAGACTTTCAGATTTTCCCGTCTAGTGAGTGAGCGAATGATCGGAAGGGAAATGTGTTTCTCTTTGAATTTCGTGATTATCTTCTTGGTCGTTGCAGCCAGTTCAGCCGGTTGCTTTGGCACACCGATTGATGCAAGGAAACGCACGCCGTCCGAGAAGCACGTATTTTAAAACCGGTATATTAGCATAACGAGACAGCTTATCATAGCGGAGATCCGCAATGATCGAATAATGACCAACGAATAATGGATTGTCAGAAATGTCAGAAAATGTCCCTGATAATCGGCCAATCCCGGAAACGATCTCCGTTTTGAAGTTCACTTACGAAACTGGCTCAATGGGTAGATTGTACTTTGTTGTAATCCCGTAATTCATTGCATTCCTATCAGTTATGTCGACTTCACTAGCAAGGTGTTTATTATAAACAAGAAAAACTATGGGTACTTGGTTTTCAGTGTTACTTTCAGTTACTTTGGCAGGCTTTTTAGGACATGCAGATTATTCGTAAATGCTCACTGCTGAATGGTTTCTTGTGGGCTATACTTGTGGCATAAATTTAAGGCGGGGCACGTCGTCATCTTATCATCTGCTAATTCAAACCGGATGTTTGATGTATTCATCTTTTTTATATATGTGATTGTATGTTCGGACAAGACAGATGGATGAAGTGTTCCCCGCGTCACCTTTATGGTGTAATGCGGGGCTGATTTAGGTATCGCCTTCACTCTTCTAGTTTTCGGAAACACGAAAAAAATCACGTCTTCCAGAATAAGAACTATCAAAAAGCTGAAATTCGAATACGATCCTGATCGGTATTGAACAAAAAGAAATTTTACGAATTTTTCTAAAAACCAAGTGACTCGACATTGCTGAATTATCCATGTTCATTAACTTCTAACTATTCAGGGGTTTTCATGGTGTGAAGCGAGTAACCATATGGTAATAAGTATGGTCGTGCCCGTGACATTGGACAAAGCCAGACGGTAATAGGTTGTTCTAGCAATGTCTGTAAAATTTTGGCAATCTTAGGTTCTTCGAGAAGGATTGGTAGGTTATACTCAAGTTTAAAACCGTCTCCGGATATTGTTTAGTTTTTTGGCTACGGAGAAACGTTTTTCATGCTGGCGATTACGCTATGCGCTGTGCTAATCTAGCTATACGTCTATTGCAATCTTATGCGCGTAGTATCACACGTCGTATCGCATGTCCACCAAACGGTTTTCGTTAGCGATCGTAATCGTAACGGAACTTCTTGTTGTCCGTTATCGAGGTAGGGTTACCGCAGCTTTCTCCATCTCGGCGATATAGAGGGAAAGGATAGGGATTTACTAAGGGCAGCTCCTCACTTTCATGAGAAATTGTGAGGTTAAACTTTGTCCCTAACTTTCTCTTCATTCTGGGCAAAGAATCATATACTATACAATATAACAGGACAAAGTCCTTGGGCGTTAATGAATTCAGTCCGAGGAATGCGCCTTGCATTCGACTCCCATTCAGAATTGTAGCGTCGTGATGGGAGAGTATGGCCTGTATAATGACTTGCAGTGGCCAGGCAATTGCAAGACACTGTTTCCATTTTCCTGAGCGAGTTGGACCGATTAGCCGACTCCGGAGGGATAGATGGCTGGTTGGCCCAAGCGGATATTGGTCTCGAATTTCATCCCCTGACCATGTGTGTGTGATAATGCGCCACTTGCCTCATATTTATCATACCTTTCGTTCGAAGCTTCTGTGGAAAAGGCTGATGGCGGTATTGGCGATTGGTAATCAAGAGACCTTCGTAGAAATCCGGCTATTGACCGCCCTTATT